GCAAAAATCCATCTCTGCATACAGACACACACTCACACATGCGCGCGTACACACACACAAGTACACTCTGGCAAGCTGCGTATCTCCCTGGCCGTCAGTCTCTCGAGCACTTGCTCTTAGTCACACACACGCACACACACACACACACACACACACACAGAGTGAGTGGAATCCCCCAGAGGGGAGCTTCAGCACAGCGCTCCTGAATCTCTCACCAGCAGGCAAACAGAGTGTTGGCAGTGGGAGTAAACCAGTTGGGGAGCCCCCCCCCCACACACACACACACACACCCCCACACACCTCGCATTTCATTTCTTCTTTCCGCGCTTTCACTCGCTCATACTTGCTCACTATTTTCTCTCACTCCTGATTTTCACTTCCCTGATTGTTGCTCCTTCCTCCCATCCTTCTCAGTCCTCTACCCCCACCCCCAACCCCCAACACACACACACACACACACTTTCCACCCGGAAGTGTCACACTACCACCTACACACCCCACCCTTTCATTTCTTATTATCAGCTGTGGCCCAGAGGACGGCCCGGCAGATTTCATCCACAGATTCATTTATCTGTCATCTGTCGGGGTGTTGCCGCTCGTCTTTCCCGTTCCTCCGTCCTCTGCTCCTCTCTCTTTCTCTCTTTTTTTCTCTCTGTTTTCTCATCCCTCCATCCTCCCTGTGCTGACAGGAGGAGCGCGGGTGAGATAAACACTTGGACTAGATGGCGGTCCAGAATTAGCATAGAAATGGAAGTTTGGAGTCATTTCCCAGGTTCAGATGAGCAGCTTGGCTCCCCTCAGCACAGGACCGCTGGCAGGACCGAGCTTGACTGCACCAAGATAAACGAGTCTCACATACACATACATATATAAATGTATAATAAAATGTTTTTAAAAAACAGTTTCGTTGAGGGTGTGCTCACTGTTAGCGCCATACCTAGAACAACCTGCAGTGTCTGACCTCGATCGCTCCAGCCTGGCAGCTTTCTGTCGGTCTGTTTCCTTCCTGGTTAATAGCAGCAGACGCTGCTCCAGTCCAATAAAAACCAGTCGGACTACTTAGAGCTGGACGCCCAACTATCACAGCCTCAGACCAGAGAAAGCGCTTCAAGCTCTTGAGCGCCTCTATCAAATCTCTTTGTTCCGTTTCCATTATGCTGTGTTCAGAGCCCAGCCATTGTAACTGGCTGCCTCAGTGGCGTCCAGGCCCAGTCATGGTACACACACACACACACACACACACACACACACATGCTAGTATGTGCACAAACACTATCTGGCAGGCAGAGCACAGTTGAGTCACTCTTGGTCTCCTCAATGTGTTTGGCGCCAGCTACAGGATTATGGAGCATTTGTGTGTGTTTGTCCAGCACAGGAACTCACTGGGTTCCTGCCTTCCCTCATTTCTGTCCCACAGGAACTGTAAAAGGGAAGGACTGTTTTGTATGTGCGTCTGCTCTGTCGGACTCCAGTGTTTGGTTCTTTGTCCAAAAACAACCTCGTATATTAAACTTAGCTTTCTGTCTGTGTGTCGGCTCTTTCTTTTTTTCTCTCTCTTTTAGGAGGTGGTGCTGTACTGTCTGGAGAACAGAGTCTGCGAGGTGAATCACAGAGACTACGCAGGTTACTGCGCTCTGCATGAGGCGTGCGCCCGCGGCTGGCTCACTATAGTCCAACACCTGCTAGACTATGGGGCCGACATCAACTGCAGCGCACAGGACGGGACCAGGTAAACAAACTCCTCTTCCTCATGCGCGCATGTTGCAGAAACCCAGGCTTGAACAAAGGCTGTCCTTTTATAAAGTGTAACCTCGATCTCTACCTGTGATGATGCAAACCGCAGCAGGGTCATAAATAAAGAGCCCAGAGCTTGCTCAAAGCTGGTGTTTATTGTATTATTATACATGAGCAGCAATTTTCAGATTAAATGCAGCTTTAAAGAGGAATGGCTCGTGCTTTCATTGCTAAGTTTATTCAATTTAAGGCTGGAGGGGGGTCAGTTTTAGGACAGCATCCTGAGGAGTTAAAAATCACTGAGCTTTATTCAAACAACCGATTTGTAACATTGGAAGTATTATTGCTCTACAATGAAACTGCTGCTTATAAAAAACACATTTTAAGCAAACTGTTATAAAATTAAGAATGTATTATTAGTAGATGGTTGTGTACTTCTGCTTAAATATTAGCCACGGTGCACATGCTAATTTAGGAAACATACAGTTGTGGTCAGGAGTTTACATGCTTTTATTATGGATGAAGCTTTGGCACATTTAGTGATTCATTACTTATTTTTCCAGTGTGGAGTAATACACAACATATTACTTCGTTGATTTTGTTTTTAAAAACAAGAATTGGGTGCACAAGTCGGAGTTTTTTTTTTTCTCTTATCCACACTTAGTCATAACTGTACATACAGGCTCAAATATCTACATATACTCAMTAATTTTTGGTAAATGTCCCGGTACCACTTTACAGTAAGACTCCCCTTATAAAGAGGCTTATAAAGAGTTTATGGATAGGTTATTAATACATCTGTAAACATTTTATAAATCATTAATAAGTGTTTATTATGCATTGTTAGGGATGAGAAAGAGACAACTGTCTGGTTTCTTGCCAAATAATGAGTCAAATCTGTTCATGTACATTACATTCAAGAATGCTATATTAAACATTTCAGACTAGGTTTCTAGCTTGCAAGCACAATAATAATTTTGGAAACACTTTTTACATATAATGTACTGTATTACTGCATCACTATTTGACAAGAAACCAGACAGTTTTGTCTATTTCTCATCCTTAATTAATGCACAATRAACACTTGTTAATGATTTATTAAGTGTTTAAAAATGAATTAATAACCTATCTATAAACTATTTGTAAGCCATATATAAGGAGAGCCTTATTGTAAAAGTGGTTCCAAAGTCCCTTTTAACAAGTTTCAGCAAAACTATGTTTTTTGTAGCGATGAACAAGCTTCTGGTCAGAATTGATAGAATTCTTTTAAACAGGTTGGTTTTCTGGCACAGACCCAGCATAGTTCACAAACAATCAATCGAGTTGAGGTCCAGGTTTTGGGAAATCCAGTCCAGAACCTCAATGTTAGCCTGCTTTAGCCAAAGAGAAACCAGATTTTACATTTTTAAAGCTTTTTTGAAGTTTGAACTCCACTTTATTTTATTTTTTTACTGTGCAATGCATCAGTACCACAGCATGATGTTACCACTACCATGCTCAACAATGGTATTGTTTCTGTATTTGATAGGTTCAAGACCTAACAGCTATGACACTGATCATTTTTAAAAGTAGCACACTTTAACGGAGTAATTTACCTTTTCCTGTTCTGTGTGTTTAGACCGATTCATGACGCTGTGGAGAATGATCACCTGGATGTGGTGCGGGTCCTGCTGTCGTATGGAGCCGACCCCACCCTGGCCACCTACTCTGGCCGGGGTCTCCTCAAAATGACTCACAGCGACAGCATGGAGCGCTTCCTCACCGGTGAGTTTGATTCATAAACTCTACAAGAATGATGTTTAATTCTGTGTTTGATCGCAAGGTTGGAAACACTGGCTTCAGTTTTTAGTTATTAATGAATGAGGATAAAAAAATGTCCTACATAAAAGGGGGAGACTGCACACCATGCAGATTTTTACAAATTGGCCTGATTGTGTTGAGTTTGAAAAATGGCTTATAAACAACAAGGCCCGCCGAGACTTACACACTATGTGCACAAGTGCAAATTTAATTTCATTTTGTAAAATATGTAAAAGAGTAAAAATCCCCAGACAAAATAAAATGGAAATTTGAGAATCTGTTCGTCTGATTAAAAAGAGTTTTTAACACCTACAATAGACAATAGGTGTCTTTTTGGCGTTAGGAGCAGTTGTGAATTTCTTCCACCAGGCTTGTATGTAAAATCCATGATGTGCCTTTAGATCACGACACGCAAAAACCTCATGTGCTGGAAAGAGCCAATCAGGCACACTGAAAGGTCAGGGTGGGGGTAAACTGTTTAAAAGACTGGTTATCAGTTTATCAGCCCCCCCCCGGCTCGTTCTGTTTGCTCCGCTCTCAACGCTCTGACCTCCATGCCACCTCTTGGCAGGAAACCCTCTCTGTAAATCCTTATTTTCCACCTCGGAGCTGTGGCTCGACATGTCCGTCTCTGTCATCTCGTCTCCCCCCGCGGCGCCCTCCCACACTCCCCTCCTCCCTCCCTCTGCCACCTGTTAGATAGGGATTCTCGGCTTGCCGGGGTGCTGCTGCTGCCTCTGAGCTCCTCTATCTGGTTACTAAGCAACGGCGACTGTGTTTGCTCAGCRTACGTGCGGAAACGGGGCTTCGCTCTGGCTRGAGAGGCTCTGCTTTTGTATGCGAGCGCCTTTCGTTTTCCACGGCGGCCTCGCTGGAGTCTGACTGTGTGTGTATGTGTGTGTGTGTGTGYGCGCGCGAGGGTTCGTCTGGATGTTTGTAGTTAAGTTGAGTCAACACGAGTCTGTGTGCTGGAGGAGAGGGGAAATGAAAGCGCACACTCGGTCACACACTTCCTCTGCAGCCAGCTGCCTTACCGGTTAAGACCCGCTGCGTGAGAGTATGAGGGTGAAAACGGGACAGGTGGCGGAGGGAG